TATATATATATATATATATATATATATATATATATATATATATATATATATGTATGTATGTATGTATGTATGTATGTATATATGCATATATGCATATGTAGCTTATGTATATATGTATATATGTGTGTGTGTAATAAACAAAAAAGACGCAAGCCTTACCTTAAACCTCTTCGTTTGCACTTCCATCAAAAGCTCAAGGAACTTATGGTGATGCTTGAACTGGAAAGCCCCATTGCTGATATGATTCCGTTTATTGTTGCTAAAACTTATGATGTTGCGCAGCGGGGACACGTCCTTGATGCAGACCGTGTCCGTGTCCGTGTAGAAGCCGCCCCAACGCCACAAGATGGCCACGCGTATAAGGTCACTCAGTTTCACTGCTGGCCATTCTGTCGGAGGGGAAAAGGGGGCGGTTTTCGAAGTGTTGAATTTTGAAACGACGATATAATTGTTTCGTCAAAACAAAATGTATCTTTCCCAGCTTATCAGTGAATACACTGAGGAATTTATATGAAAGGATGTTTAGTTTGCATTTCACTACTTGATAGGGTTGCCTTCATATTTACACTTTAAAGATGTCTAGGAAGTGACAGCAGGGTTTATGGGTGTATCAGGTAATGGCCACCTCAAGCTTGGGTACATAACTGTTGTTCTCCCCCTTGTAAATCCCTCTTGATAATGTGCCACAGGTTTTCAATAGGATTAAGATCCGGAGTAATGCCCGGCCAATCCTGAATGAAGTGCATCGTGCAGTCAATGGGTCACAGATGTTACTACGTGGGCAAGGGCACCATCTTGCTGGAAGATGCTGGCCTTGGCGAGTTCGAAAGACTCGGGTAAATGGTCACGGACCAGCTCCAGGTAGTCATGTTGGTTAACTTTACGTCATTTTGGAATAACAAGTTTACCCAGACCCCTACCAGTAAAGCAACCCCACACCATGAGTGTGTGGTTGCTAGTACACTCCACTTCCACAGTTGCCTATAACGTCGAATGAAGCCTTATCTATCCATTCCACAGAGAGCGTCATCGCTCTAGGCATGATATTCCATGTGAAAGGCAATCGTGAGATATATCTGCTATTGACAAAAGAGGTTTCTTCCTTGGTGTCTGGTTGGTGGAACTTAAGCGAGTCACTTGAAATATTTCATTTAACATATTTTCAAGGAAATTATGTTTTACTGTTAAACAAAAAATATTGTTCATGCTAATATAAAGTAATTGCACAATTTTACAGAACCATATACATGAGAAAATGAATATTTTGCAGTTTATATTAACCGATTTCTTTAAAATCCGCGTCCGACTGCATACCATTGAGTCCCAGATGCCTCGTGTTTCTGAAGTGGAACAAGCCCTGACTTCGACCTCCAGGCCTAAGAGGACTGCTAATTGGACCGAAGATGAAGAGCTAAACCTTTGCTGCAACATTCATAATATTGTAGTTTGCTTCAAACATTATCTGGATGGACATTTATGTTTCGATAGTTTTTTTTTTTTTTACATATCCAGCCTCATGTTCCTTGGCCGCAATGATCCTAATATGAGTGCCACCAATAACACAACGGATTCTGCTGCATAGATGGCACGCGTACGATTTGCACGAGGGCTTATTTGACCTCTGATCATGTCGGTCACATACATTAATCCTCGATCTAATCTGAGCCGTTTTATTTTACCATCTTTTCTTTTCCAGATTTGCCTCACACTTCGTATCCTCACTCTCTGTTGTGCTGCTTCCAGTGCTAATACGTGGATTTAAGTGCGGCACGAAGTGCTGTGTCCTCCCATCATCATCCGGTTGAGTGCACTTAGGGACGCTGAGTAGTTTGATAAATTAGACAAGTAATCTACTCTTAGTTGAGTGTTGCATCCATGAACTTTCGACTACGAAGTGCACTTAAGGATACTCAGTAATTTGATAAATACTGACCCTAGTACACAAACGTTTCATGGCTGCTTTTCTTCAGAGATTTTGCTGTTGTTCCTGAATTTGATCCTAAGGTACGGCATATAATAATATAAAATTTGAGAAGTATTCTTAGGGTGCCCTGTCCTAGGTTTCTGGCATGGTGTCTCCAGCTCTCCTCCCTCCTGAAATTGCGCCTTGTATTTCGTGGTTTTGGACCTGGCCACGTTCGACAGTTCAGTGATCTCTTCCCTTCAGTGGCCTGCCTTCTATAGCCTAATGACTGAGGCAATTACTGATTTTCTTAATTTCGTTGTAGCTGCTATCATAATAATAGAGCCCCTATATAAATCATGAAAACCAGTGTGAAAATAAGCAAGGTGGGGGTGGGGTCACAACTATCCTTTCCCCATAGCAGCGTGGGAGCGATTGACTGGTTTCTTTCTCACACAGCTTTGTGGCCGGGGAGACGGCAGGGAGCTGCCAAGTACTTTTTAGTTAGATAATTTCATCTTTGAATATCCTCTCTTTCATCACAAACATGAGGCTACAAGGGGTAGGGGCCACATACTTTTGACGAGTACTATAATT